AAAAAGTTTTTATTGTGAATTATGTGAGTTAACATGGGAGAACACCAGCTCTACATTCATCTTATCATATTTTGTTTCTTTGCAATGATTACAATCCCCTCCATGCATCATCAAACAACCAATCAGTACACCCCACAGGCCTGTCTCTTGGCCATCAGCACACAGCCCCTCTCGCTCCCAGAGTCCAGAGTTCTCAGCTGCTCCATCTGTCCATGTCATCGTCTCTGCCTCCATTTCTGGCATCACTGCTTCTCTCTGGGTAAGGTTCTGCACTCCACTCTTCTCACTTGATGGTCCCAGGGACCTCTGCTCTTGGACTGAAAAATCAATCACTCCCTTCCTTTGGTTACAAAACATCTACCTTTACATTTCCAACTCTCACAGTCAGTCCTGATAGCAATTATTCACAATTGTACCACTAAGAGTCTTATCCCCATCTCCTTTCATCAGCCTGGTCCCTACAGATTAGAAACCACTCAGTAGAGATTCTACCTTCCCTACTCCCTCTGGAACTAGGCTCCCTCTTGAAAGCTTGTAAACCAGTCATTTCTCACCTTTGCAATGGTGTCATTTTATTAACAAAAGTCATTCTAACCATTTAGGGGCGATTTCTATGATACCTATAGCCAGAAAGACAAGAAGGCATAAACTATATAAAACCATTTAAGAATGATCCCTGGTCTCACAGACTGTTGCAACTGGTATAGCCACAAATTTCACAACTACAAGATGATCTGGCATAATAACACATTGCACTGTAACACTTTCCTAGTTGGAGACAATGTTTTGCTTTCTGTCATCATCTTTTAAAAGAAACTTAAACAATTTATACATGCCTCTGTTGGTGTTGTAAGGCACCATTGAGTCATTTTTGACTCATAGTAAACCTACATGCACAACAGAACAAAAAACTGCCCAGTCGTATACCATCCTCATAATTGCTGTCATGTTTGAGCCCATTGTTGCTGCCATTGTGTCAATCCATCTTGTTGGGGTCTTCCTCCTTTTTGCTGACTCTCCACTTTATCACGCATGATGTTCCAGGGGTTGATCCCTCCTGGTAATAGATCCAAAATATTAGAAGTCTTGCCATACTAGCTTCTAAGGAGCATTCTGGCTATACTTCGTCCAACACAGACTTGTTTGTACTTCTGGCTCTATATAGTACTTTCAATATTGTTCCCC